TGCATGAGTTGTGCTTGGTGCTCACAGAGACCAAAAGAGGGCATGGGATTCCCTGGAACTGCAATTGTAGACAGTTGTGAGTCACTTGTGGGTGCTGGGAATTGAACCCAGGTCCTCTAGAAGGGTAGCCAGTGCTCTTAACCACTGAGCCATCTTTCTAGCTTCAGCTTTAGCATTTTTAAATGACTCAAATACATAGCATGAACTGCTATCAATGTTCTATACAAGTAAATCTCTAAAACATAGTTCTTCTCTCTAGCTGTAATTTTCAATTTCTGATCATCACTCCAAGACCTCTGGTCCCTTGCTCTACCACTCTAGCCTCTAGTTGGCACTGTTCTGTTCTCTATTAAGGACAGAACTGCTGCTAAGGACAGAACTCAGGGCTGAATGCTTGCTAGGCAAGTACACTACCACTGAGCTAAATCTCCAACACCGATCTCTCCCTCCATAAACCTGCTGCTTTTGAGAACAGGTGGCCTTTGTGGGTACATGCCTGGCTTATTTCTGCTAGCACAGTGCCCACTAGGTTCATCCATGTCATTGCAAATGACAGGATTTCCTTCTTTTATGGTTAAGGGTATGTGATTATTGAGTCAAGTTTAACTTTAAAGGTCATGCTATGGTTTTTTTTATATCTCCCCAAAACATTGATGTCCTTCAGTAAGAGATAATGCATTGCTGTTCATGTATGTATATATGTATGTATGTATGTATGTTTGTATGTATGTATGTATCCTTCTATTTAGGTTTGAGAGTCAGACCTTGACATACTACTTAGTGTAAGCACTTGCTGAGCATTCCTCTCAATGCTGAGTGAGTGGACACAAACTGACAAACAGGAACACCTGATATTCTCACATCAGCCAGGCTAAAGCAATACTCACATAAGGAATGGAGCGGCAGGAGCGGATGGAGTCGCTGAAGCCCATCCACTGCTGGTAGTCAGGGTAGTCCCCACGCCGCAGGAAGTACTGGTAGCCCTGGTAGTTGGGGCGCTCATAGAGCATCCAGCAGCCACTGTCCACTCTGATGGAGTTGCAGCGGCTGAAATAGGTCTGCAGGTTGGGGCAGTCGGTGCTGCACTCATAGCAGCGGCCCTGGAAGCCCCGGTCCTCGTAGAAGGTGATCTGTAAAGGAAAAACGGGTGAACATGGTCAACTGGAAGTCACATCCCCAACACAGAGGAAACACTCCGCAAACCTGGGAGGTTCTCTCTTGGCTCACCTTTCCCATCGTTGTTGACAGCAAATGATCAGTGTTGAGCGTGATGGGGACAGGAGTGGCAGCTGATATATATATAGCAGGATGGCTGCTGTGTTGGCAAGAACAACACAAAAGGGACCTGGGGGGTAATGCATAAAGGGATTTCTGTGTTCTCTCGCTTTTTCATTTGGGATCATGGGGTAGGGGGCTCTCATTCTCTCTGGCATTTTCGAGTTGTCCTCACTAACTCCAGTGAAAGGAATTAAAGTCAGCAGAGCCATTATGATCTTGGAGACAAAGGGCGTGCTTCTCATCCTATGCAGCTCTCTAGAAATACATTACATACCCAGCATTTTGCAATGTTTGCCTATAGAAAGTGCTGAGATGGAGGTCGGCGCTTCCATTTGTGGGAAGCTCATGAGAATCATATGAGTTCCGGAAGCACCCTGAGGCACCAAGGGGCAGCAGAAAAACAAACAAAACTTCTGCAATTGAGAAAGTTTCTTGTCTTTATCTGTATGATACAGATTTGATTTTTTTTAAATGCATATGTTTAGGATAAAAAGGTTAGAACTTGTAGAGACTAAAATGTCAACCATGGCTATCAAGGAATGGTAAGGTATATATAGGCCCCCGTATTATTTCTTCCTTTTGAATTTAAAATTTCTTTTATTTTCTACTATAAATATATATTGCAAATTCAGTGCATGAGAGTAGTAAAGTCAATTTTTAAATGTGTGATATTTGAGTTAATGGCTAAAAGCATACATATATATACACATATACATACTTATATGAGATCAAACACTTCTTGGTCTAAAATTAATAGCTCTTCCAACAATCTGAGGCACTCTTATCAGGAAATGACATAGGACTTTTCCCTTCTTCCTGACACCACCCTTTTTTCAGGGTTACTACTTTTTGTTCTTAAAACCAGTGCTATGGTCTGTCTGGTTTTCCCTCACCGGAATGTTAGTTTCCCTGAGCCAGGATAACCTCCATCAGAACTTTCTTCTTTGCTGCCAGCTGACTTAGAGTGCTTTTCAATTGCAGGGATGGAGGATGCTCAAACCTTGGATTAGTCTCTGTTATCCCACCCCATTCATTTGTAGTAAGTGAAGTCAAACATAATTTTGCTTCATGCCCATGAGGGGACTCTAAAAAGACACCCAACTAGAGTTAGCAATACAGGCACAATGTCTGCATGAAAATCCTCAGCCATCACTCACATGATGTGTGCGGCTGGCAGAAGCACAGACATCGAGGAGTGTCTTCTCACAGCCAGCAAGGTTTTACAGAATCAAATCGGGCAGAGTCCCCGGCAGCTGGAGCCTTGGCAAAGGATCACAGGCCTCCTCTGCATCCATCCTGTGTTCCCAGCATCAAGTACAACTGTGATGAAGCACCATGTAGGAAGGCCCACACTGCCCCCCCCAGCCACAACCTCACGTGGGAGCACACCACTGTTTTCAACAAACGCACCTGACTTTGCATGTGGCACTAAGACTATTCTGCAGAAAGATGGCCGGCCTAGTCCTTAAGAAAGAGGAGGTATGATGTCCTGACATTGGTCTGATGAAGGTGTAACTGCAGACTAGTTAAACCAAAATGTGCCTTATCGAATTTTTGGAAAGGCCCCTGAAAAGGCAGCACATTTTCTTTCCTTAGGGTCACCATGTTCTACCGAGAGAAAGCCAGCACCCATTTCTCTTTTCAAACTTTATTGAAATGGAATGAGTTTACATTTTCTCTACTTGAAAGTATGCTAATGAGAAATCAGTTTTATTTGGGGTCTAAACTTTGGAAAACCACCTCCTTCTCCATGATTCTATGCAGTGTTTAATGCTACGTTTGCTAAAAACGTGTATCAAAATCAGAATGTCTCACCCTATCCAGAAACAGCGAACCCCCTCTGAATGCTCCAGCAGTCTTCCGGGTATATAATGAAGTAGCATAGGATATAGACATTTTTCCTTTTGCCAAAATATATATGCAATATGCTTCCAAGAGAAAAAGACTCAAGGGCAAACATGATGGTCAATGCTGTCTGCAGCAATAGCTAACTGCAGGGAGAGAGTGTGCTGATGAGGAACTGCAGCTCTACGGCGGAGCTTCCTGTCTGCTCCCAGAGGCTCTGATCCGCATCCATGACACTAGTTCTCATCTCTAAGAGACCTGCAGAAGGAAAGGATGGTTTTGGTACCAAGCACATCGGTATAACACAGACATATACACTCGCTTTCTACTGATACAGAGCTAAGGTCAAACATCAGGTACCAACAGAGATGGGTTAGATCCATGCAGACGTAAAAGAATTCCCATGGAGCAATTCTGAAATATCTGAAAATGAATTCTTTTTCTCAACTGACTGCAGTATGTGATCTCATTTTGGATCCTTTAAAGGGGGCATTATTTGGACAAGTGAAAAAATTATTTGGGTGATAGCTTAGATAAAAGTAGCAATGTTTTAGATTTTTGGGGTTAATAATTGGTTACTTAAGAGAATGACTTTGCAGCCGGGCTGCTTTAATCCCAGCACTTGGGAGGCAGAGGCAGGCAGATCTCTGTGAGTTCGAGGCCAGCGTGATCTCCAGAGCGAGTGCCAGGATAGGCTCCACTCTCTAAAAAAAGAGAGAGAGAGAGAGAGAGAGAGAGAGAGAGAGAGAGAGAGAGAGAGAGAGAGAGAGAATGACTTTGCTTTTAGGAACTACAAAGTAAAATATACGGGGTAAGTTGATAGGGTATGTACAAGTTTTAACAGCTCAGAAAACGTTACCAATATCTGTATACACAAAAAGACAGAAAGGAGAAGAGATAACGAGAAAGACATAAAAAGCTAGTAGAACAAACAGCAACGATAGATGGTGAACCTGTGTCCTTTGTACTATGGCAACATTCCTTTAAGCGTGGAATTATTCCCAAATTAAATTTAAAAATTATTAAAGTCAAACTTCTTTGGACTAGCATTACCCAACCTAAACCATTTTCCAGCTCTGTGCTGTTAGCATATTGTTTTAGGTTTTTTGTCTATATTACTTTGGATTTAAGTTTAAACTCTCCTCTCTCTATTTGGCTTCCTTCCACAGTGCTGTGGGTTCTCTGGGAATGGGAAGAGAGAGACAGGTGTCTTTCTGCTGGGTGTGATCTTGGTGATTTTTTTTTGGGGGGGTGGGGATTTTCAAGACAGGGTTTCCCTGTGGCTTTGGAGGCTGTCCTGGAACTAGCTCTTGTAGACCAGGCTGGTCTCGAACTCACAGAGATCTGGCCACCACTGCTCGGCTTTCCCTGAGTTTTTATACATACATTAGTTCATTTAGTTGTTGAAACAACCCAGGAAGGGACATAATACTCTTTGTTTTATAGGAAAGCGCAGAAAGATTAGCTTTCCCGGGAAACGTTGTTCATATTCATTTTGATTAAAAGAAGCTACCAGTAGAATAAAAAGAAATCCTTCCAAGTTTCCCAGAATAGCTGAGAGTTTTAAAAACATCACTGGAATAAGTTCAAAGAGAAACAACATGTAGCTCTTTTGGGTATGTGAACACAGAGTATGACTCCAGAGTTTGGATATGTGTGTTAAGAATTGAAATGTCTGTGTACTCTGCTCCTCAACCAACTAAATCACAGTTGTGAAAAAGTAAAAGAAAAGAAATTTAACTAAGACTTACACTGACTTACACTGACCAAGTTGGCCTTTCTGTCTTCTGTTTAATTTATTTTCACCTTGTATATTATGGTTGAGACCCCAGAGCTGTAGTAACTATCATGACAATGACAACTGCAACATAATCTTTCTACTTTCCTCCCAGCCCTATCCATCTCTGATTAGTCTTTAAATTCTTCTCCATAACAGTGGAGGACTGGATGGATAGGGAAAATGAAAGGGCAGGATTTGGGAGATGCCAAGAAAGAAAAGACAAAATTCTCCTTGTGATAGAATTCTCATCCAGAACATTGTATGTGTAGACACTAAAGTAAGCCACCCTATCTGAACAAACTGAAAGACAACCCATCCACTTCTGAAGAGTAATTTTCAAGTGTTGAAAGCTAATCGTGGCTAATCTTTATTTAGGCTTCACCACATACCATTCTAACTACTCATCCATAATCCTGATTAATCGATGACTTTAAGAGATGAGTACCGGGGCTGGAGAGATGGCTCAGAGGTTAAGAGCACTGACTGCTCTTCCAGAGGTCCGGAGTTCGGTTCCCAGCAACCCCATGGTGGCTCACAACCATCCGTTATGAGATCTGGTGCCCTCTTCTAGTGTGCAGATATACCTGGAAGAAGAATATTGTATATATAATAAATAAATAAATAAATAAATTACTTTTAAAAATTGAAAAAAGAGATGGGTACCTCTCCCCCCCCCCCCCCCCCCCCCCTACATAACCTATTCAAAACCATGCAGCTGAGAAGTAATGGACTCTGTATTCACAACCAGAACCCTGAATGCCAATACTCAACGTCCAACACAATATAGACAGTTATCCCACAGCATCCTGTTTAGACATACTTTGTTTTTGAGCTGTGTGTATGAGCACCTTTCCCCAGATTGCCATTCTGAATCATTGCTTTCTTTGTAGAGCTGCTGGAGGCTTTTTTAGTCATTGCTCCTCTCCTCAACTTGACACCTGCAGACATGGAGAGTAACCACATCAGAGTATAAAACTTTAGAAAAATGTGTTCACTGCTCTGTTAGTTAGATCTTGCCTTTCTGGACTGCATTGCCCATCTCACCAAAGGAACTAAGAAATAAACCTTTCTGGTTAGGGTAATATAGGGGAGGGGACCATCAAGTTATGAAGGATCCTGATGTTTTTTTAATCTCACCATACAGAAATCTAGTCAGTGTTATCATTGAACCTCACTGGGTGGGGCCCATCTCCTAGTTAACTTTCTCCACGGCCAGAAGGAAGCAGACTTACTCTGTCTGTAGTTGCACTCTGCTGCGTTGGGTGCTGTCAACATGGCAAAAGGGTGCAAGGAGCGGCGGGGCAACAGAGCCTGGGAGACCTGGAAGAAGACAGTGCTGTTTTACAGCTGTGTGAGCCTCGTGTGGGGAGCACTTGCTACTTACAGCACGTGGTGTGTCTCGTCAACCCGGAGTCCTGGTGTATTGATGAAGCATCCAAAAGGAAGGTGAATGTGGTCTTCATTTACAGCCTCTGCTCTGTGCTTGATTCCCGTAACACAGAAGTCCCCTTTGCACTGGACATTCCTCACATGCCCTCTCCTGGCATAGTCACTTTTCTGCCCTAGGCTCCTGCCTGGTCTTTTCTGTGGAACTCAAGTATTCCCTTGTCCGAGTGAGGAACTTGCCCTAACATCATGCTCTTACCTGCTACGCCCTGTCCCCACAAACCAATGTACAGTATAGGCTGGCCATTGCTACTTATGCCACTGGAGTGCTTTTTAAATATGCTCTTAACTTTATTAGTAACCTTTTTAAATAAAAAATATAATTGTATCACTTCCTCCATTCTCCCTCCTCCCTGTAACTTCTCCCATGCCCTTCCGTCTCTAACTGATGGCCTCGTTTTTTATTATTATTGTCATATGTAATATATAAAGGCATAAATCTACCAATACAACCCGATGGGTCCATTTAGTAGGCTTGCATGTATATGATCCAGGACTGACTACTTTGTATTATATAACCAATTAGGAGGCTTGGCCTGGGCGAGGCTTATTCCCCCTGGGAAGTTTTAAAGCACTTGAGTGTCAGAGTCTGTTTTAAAATTCTAAACTAAATTCTAAAGTTGAAGAATGCTTGTCTGCCATGCAAAGGCCCTTGATTCACTCCCATCATAAAAAAAAAAGATGCACTTCCTCTGATGGCTTTCTTGCTTTTGTCTTTCACATGAGAATCCACAGTCCTTCGGGAAGGACTTTTGTTCACGGTGTGAGAGGCAGGACAAGAGCTGACAGCTCATCTTCCTCATGCACATTGTGCTACCTTTGTCCAAAGTCCAGGGACTGGACGGTGTGGCTTTGCTGCCAGGCTCTACATTCTGGTTCATGGTCATTTGGCCAGTGCTTACCCCATCTGTGCTGCCCCACAGTTCAACAGTAGGCCCAGTATCCAAGGTAGCTACCTCCCAGCTTTGACATCCTTTTCCAAGATTGTCTACTCTTGGCTTTTTTGCTTCCTATCGATTTGATCATTGTTTGACAGTATGTGAAAAGAGAATTGGGCTGAGGGATGAAGGATATTGGGGGGGGGGTGAGAGCTAGCTTTCTGGGGTGAGTTCGTTTCTGGCTTACTTTGTGGGGAGGGTAGAGAATTTCACAATCACGAGTGTTCTAATCCATGAACGCTGTATCTTTCCACTCAGTCCTTTTCTAATATCAACAGCATTTGGAGTTTGCAGTGCAGAAACCTTATGCAGATTCTGTTAGTTTTTTTCCTAAGTCTGCTCTTTACTTTATAGTCAATATCATCTGTCTATGCTTTGTTTTCTCTATATTCCTGGCTTATAGAAAGGAATTAAGGTTTTACACTGATTCTGCATCCAGCAACTTTGCTAACCCCACTTATTAATAAATAGTGTGATTCTTTTGGGCTTTCAAAGTATCCATTATGTCATTTTAAAGAATGACAGTTTTTTTTGTATTTCTGTTGACCCTTAATTATTTCTGGTAGCAAAGATTGTCAATGTAATATTAAATAGGAAGGAAGACAGCAAGTACTATCACTATACTTATTATTATTATTATTATTATTATTATTATTATTATTATTTTATGTTCATTGGTATTTTGCCTGAATATGTATGTCTTTTATGTATGTCCATATAAGAGTGTCAGGTGCCCTGAAACTGGAGTCACAGACAGTTTTGAGTTGCCATGTGGGGACTGGGAATTTAACCCAGGTCCACTAGAAGAGCAGCGAATGTTTTTTAACTGCTGAGCCATCTCTCCAGCTCCAAAGAATTATTTATGTGTAAGAGTGCTTTGTTTTCATATTTGCCTGCACACCAGAAGAGGGTATCATATTCCACTGTAGACAGTGGTGAGCTACCATGTGGTTACTGGGAATTGAACTCAGGGCCTCTGGAAGCTTTATGCCTGAGTCATGTCTCCAGCCACTGATCTAGTTCTTACTCCAAGGAAGATACTGCTATTACATATGATGTTTGTCATATATTTTGAAATATACTTTAACAGGTTAAAGAAGTTATTGATTATCTTGCTTTGTTAAATATTAGTTTATTGTGATTAAAAAATAACACAAGGATTACCTTAACTAATTTTTTTTAAATTGTTAACTTTGACCTAAACAGTAATTTTAGGTTTACAGGGGATTATGTAGGAAATTTACACACACACACACACACACACACACACACACACACACACACACACACTCCCCATCATCAACTTCCTGTCCCACAGTAGGACATTTGTGACTGTCCATAAGCACAGGTGGGCACATCATCACCTAAATTCCAAAGCTGTACATTTTTCTAAAGGAAAATATCAAGTGCTTTTCTCAGAACATATTTCTTGGGTGAAGGAAATTGCTCAGTTGTCAAAATGACCACTGTACACACATGAGGGCCTGAGTTTAGAACCCCAGCTCCCACCTAAAAGCCTCAGGTAGTGGAACACTCTTGTAACACCAGTGCTATGGCCCTCTAGAGCTCAGTGGCCAGCCAGGCCAGCAGTGATGAGCTCCAGGTTCAGTGAGATCCTGTCTCAAAAAACAAAGTGGAGATCGATTGAGGATGACACCCAACATTGACCTCTGGTCTCTGCACATATATGTATGTACACAAACATGCATATGTGTACACACACAAATACACATACACACATGGTACACATGATAGTAAAAAATGGTAAGACATCTTTTTCTCCTTTCCTCAGTGAACATAGTTTATTTTTGAGAATTTTAGCATTTACATGCAGGAGAGGTTGACTATATAATCTCCCTTTTTCTGTGTATGGTTTCATTGGCTATGCTGACCTTCATACAGATCCTGTAAGCTCTGGGAGTTTGATGAGATGGGTCACATTGTTTTCTCCTCTTATCTCCATATTGACACATGGTGAATTGTAGACAGCAGTGTTTCTGATTGCAGGAGAGGTGCAGTCACCTACTCTGATCATTGCTAAGGAGTGTTCTTTAAGGGCTGAAAACCCTTCAACCTGCAAATGCAGAATTAGAAATACCTGACAGCACCGGGCAGTGGTGGCACACGCCTTTAATCCCAGCACTCGGGAGGCACACAGGTAGGTGGATCTCTGTGAGTTAGAGACCAGCCTAGTCTATAAGATCTAGTTCCAGGACTGCCTCCAAAGCTACAGAGAAACCCTGCCTTAACTGCCCCGCCGCCCCCCCCCCAAAAAAGAAATAACTGATTTCGTTCACAACATAGTGATCTAACTTCATGCCTCATGTGGCCTAGGAAATGTGACAGAGGTTTCTAGTAGCCTCCCAAGAATCATCTTTATCTTTATCTTTTTTTTTTTTTTCCTTTTGGGGACATTTAGACATGCTGTCATCCAGATAGAAATCTGTGTCCTCAGTCCGCCCTTCCAGCTAAATGTGACTACACAAGGAAGCTTTTGCCTGTGATGCACAGAACAGTGTGCTCTGTGAGACTCAGGACACATTTCCTTAGGGAGGAAAAGAACTCTTCACCTTCTAGAGTCTGCAGCAGAGTTGTCACGGAAGACACTCCAGCGATTGTGTTACACAACCAGGCTGAAGTCTACAACACAGGGAGGGCTAAGCAGAGACCTAGATGGAGTCTGTGAGCGCAGCGATTTTTAGACTTGTGATATATGTGAGGAATGAGCCATATTCCCCTGTATCTATAGAATTCCTGTTGTACCATACAGGAAGCACGGATTGAACAGCAAGTGAGATGCTGCAAGGCCGACATTATGATTATGTAGAGTTGGAATGTTACAGATCCAGCACCCCTTTATCTCAATCCATCTTTAGCGTTCCTCATTCACAGCCCAACTCTGACTTAGCACAAGGGTAAGCAACTGGCAACTACTCCCGGTTCTCTGATCTTCCAAGATTTTTACCCCATATCTGACTCCCAGGTTTTTATCGATTAAGATTAATCAGATTAACGCTTCAGAGTGGGAATCTCTTTGACTGTGTGCAAAAGCTAGTGTGGAAGTACACACTTAGAATCTCAATGCAGGGAAGGAGGTGATAGGAGCGGCCCTGGGGCTTGCTGGCCCGACAGTGTAACTGAAGCTTCAGGGAGAGCCCCTGCACCAGAACGTAAGGTGGAGATCCACTGAGGAAGATGCCCAACGTCAGCTTCAGCCTTCACACTCAATGCACACCCCTGCATGCTGCACACTTATGCGTGTGTGCACACACGCATGAATGCGTACACACGCATCCCACAAGTACACACTAGCAACTCTTCTTCCTTTTGTGCTTTGTGTACACTTAAAATTATGTACATTTAATTACGTTAGTGACACAAAGAACTGAGCATAAACATAAACTTTGACCTCTCCCTTCAGGAAGCACAGAACCTATTGTGATGGTTAATTTTTTTTTTTTTTTTGAGACAGGGTCTCTCTGTGTAGCTTTGGAGCCTCTCTTGGCACTTGCTCTGGAGACCAGTCTGGCCTCGAACTCACAGAGATCAGCCTGTCTCTGCCTCCTGAGTGCTGGGATTAAAGGCATGCGCCACCACCAATGCCCAGCTGTGATGGTTAATTTTGATTGTCAAGTCTCATGTAGGAGGGGAACTCAGTCAGCAATTGTTTAGATTGGGTTGGCCTGTGAGGGTCCATTGTAGGGGAAGCAGTAGCCACGCCTACTTAGGGGCTGGCTACAGGTGTGCCTGACCATGCCGTCACAAGCTTGCAAGGGCGTGGTCAGGGGACGTAGGGTGACTGCATTTTTGCTTTCGGGCTCTCTTTTGGGCTTGCGAACAGACCGCTGCCACGCCGGCTGGCTAGGTAGCCCTGTAAGTAAGGCTTTTCCCTATTAAATACCCTTATATTTCTACCTGACTCCGTGTTGGTAATTT